TTTTTTTTGTCTTTTTGAGACAGGGTCTCACTATGCAGTTCAGGCTGGTCTTGAGCTCACTTTGTAGCCCAGGCTGGTCTCAAACTCACAATGATCCTCCTGTCTCAGCCTCCCACAGGTGTGCACCACGCCTGGCCTCACATCCTTCTTAAACCCATTTTCCTTTGCATATTTACTAAAGTTTGACTTCACTGGGCTCACGCCGCAGTAGTGTTCTCCTGACTTCTCTCTGCAGTAAAGCTGTCTCAAATCATGGCACCAAATGGATCCCCCTCAACCACAGCTGATCCCCACTCCTAGCCATCTAGGCTATCTTCTCACCTCATCATCTTCTCTCGTTTCTCATCTCTCATATTTTGTACCTCAGTTAGCTGAACTATCAATGTTCTCACAGCACCTAAGAGGTATCCTAATGGCCTGTTCTGTTCCAGAACACACTCACAACTTCGCAAGGTGTAAATACTGCTAATCTTCTAGAAAGCTTCCTCCATCCTTTGGTTGGAAAACCACCTCCTCCTAGATGAGAACAGTCACTCTTCTGTGGCTCTTCTGCGCACCTAGTAGTTTCTATTATTTATGTATTTTTATGCATCTTCTCCTCTCTCCTACTGGATGGCCAACTCCTTAAGGGAAGATTCCAGTTGTGACTCATTCTCATGTGTCTTAACTGTTTCTACCACAAGCTGCTCAAAAATTTGTGTTTAAGCTGATTGTGGTGGCACATGCCTGTAATCCCAGCATTTGAGAGGCTGAGGCAGGAGGGAAAATTTTTAGGCCAGCCTGGGCTACACAGCAAGACCTTGTCTAAAGAAAACAGTCAAATAAAAGGGAAGACAATCAAATAAATGCTTAATAAATGAATGGGAAGCTGTAAAGACGGGTGATTAGAAAGATGGGACATAAACAACAATATTATACTAACATGAGATTGATAAGAACTAGGCATCTCTCCATCACAGGGATTTTAAGCAAGAAAAGTAGTTATTGTAGTCACATTGGGTTAAAGAGGAATTTTCCAGGAAGGCAGTACTGTTAAAAGGAACAAAATGCTATCATCTTAATGTTCATATCCACATACTGCTGAGTACAATAAATGTAAATAAGCAGGTTTCAAAATTTTATAGGCCTTTTCCACAGTCCTCTAATGCCAGCACTGGGGAGGCTGAGGCAGAAAATTCACCACAGTTCAAAGCCAGCCTCAACTACATAGTGAGACCCTGTCGCAAAGCAAAACAAAACAAAAAATCTATATAGGTTTTTTCAAGAAAATATTTATCTCAGTAAAGCAGAGGGAAGCACAAAACATAGGCTAAAAAATTAAAGTAATAAAAATATATTGCTATGAACTCTTAATTTTTGTTTTTACTTGGCAACCCACAGGATCTCAGCATCACCTCCTTCACAGCAAATCAGTATTACCCTACTAGGCTTACTTTCGGTGGCTATTATTTTCTAAAAATCAGATCAAGAACTTAGCAAGCATAATCTCAAAGGCTTGCAGAGATTTAGAAAAGAAGCCTTATTAAATAAGAAATAATGTTTAAGAATCAACTATTACATAAAGAAAAAGATCAATTTTGAGCATAGTTTTCCCACACTGTTAATTTCAGCAGCACAAAAACAGATGAAATTCTATTAGTGTTGGCTATTTTATAAGTTCTATGGGCATCAGCTTCATCTCAAAATGTTAATTTCTTTTAGTGAGGCAAAGTACAATTTTAGAATATATCTTAAACATGGCTGAATTAGAGACCAAGGAAAGCAAATCCAAATCTTCTGTCTGTCTCACAAACACTTTCTCTCTCTCTCTCTAAAAGAAATGTCATTAGTTGACATTTCACTTTGGTAATTTTGTCCTAGTTTTTATATATATGTACTATAAACTATACTAAAGTGTCTCTCAGCAACAAAAGCTAAGAACAAGTTCTAATCTATTAAAACTTACATAATTCAGTCCCAGAGTGAGACAAGGCAGGTGGATTACCACAAGCTTGAGAGCAGCCTGGGCCTCAGAGCGAGACACGTCTCAAAAAAGAACAATAACAATAAGCAAAAATAACCCCTATATGTAAATAACAAAGCAGAAAAACAAGTACCCTGAATTGTGAGCTTCATCAGTATCCAGGCAAAGGAAATAATGCTAAAAGCAAGCTACTTCACAGCAAGATTTATTAATACATCCAAAAGAAAGAAAGAAAAATCATTTTGTCACACTATATACAGATAATACATACAGTGTTTTATACACATATTACATCAGTTTTTACACAAGAAAAATATACATAAAAATGTAAACTTTTGTATACAAAAACCCTTAAACAAATTAAACAAGGACCAGATAACAAAAGGAGACCAATCCATTATTATTTCATCAAATTTTAAAACAGTAATACAGTACATTCATTGAGATATATATGGAAAATGTGAGCCATCTCTTCTTGTTTAAAGGGAAATTACAAACCAAAAGCCCCTCATCTCCCACAATGTCTTCTCTACCAGCAATACCACATCCAATGCCATAGATACAACTTTCCATCAGATATGGGGGCTCCTACTGAAGGCTGCCCACCTCCTCGTCTTTTGCTTTCTATGCAGACCAAAAGTGGAAAAAAAAAGTGGCTTCTAGTTTTTGTGCATTTAACTAAGCTTGCAGCTACTGTTAACATCAAAGAGAAGGGTCTCGGTTTGTAAGTTCCCTTTAAGCAGCTTTTTCATTTTCTATGTATTTTCAATGTATGGCATATTAAACATACTTGTGTGCCAAGGTGAATGAGAAACACTGAAAAGGGGCTTTGAGAACTGCTAGTCCTTGCTACCGTGCAGTTACTTTGTTAGAAGAGATTTTAAAACTGTCCAACCTGTCATTTACTGATTTTAAATAAGCTACCTCACCTTTGATTTCCCACTGCAACTTGGTTTCAACTTACACACTTCATTACTCTAGTTAGTACCACACAACTGCCAGGAGGCTTTTTTTGTTAAAGGCTGCTTCTGATATCAAGTTCCAGCTAAACTACTCTAAAATCATTCAATCCTCAACCTCTCTATTATGGTCTTCAGGGGTACCCTTACTCCACATCCCAGCCCCCTAGCATCTTGCTGCTTAGGATTGTCCAGCTACCTTCTCCTCTCTGCAAGTTCTTGAGATGTAATCTGCTGCCAACTCATCACAATATAAAATAATAGTTAACAGTATATTCTTAACACTCTTGCATTCAGTGTGTCAAACTGATACACAAACGAAAAATACCGGAAGTTGTGGGGAATAAGAATTACGTCTACATCAAGTACATGCAACCTAAGAGTTAAAAAAATAAAAAGATTAGGAAGACCTATAACTAAATAAATGCAAAAATGTGTGTAAGACAGTTTCAGAAAAGAGCCGTCTTCTTTCAAAGTTGAATTCTGAACAAAGCAGAATAACAATTAGGTGATATATTACCCTGCAGCAAGAGAGTAGTTAACCCCCTCCCCTGGCAAAATGATCTCGCTGATCGTTATTTATTAATGAACGGAAGAGGCAAATTGGTGAATTCAGTTGATCTAGGACATGGCGGATTACACACACTAATGGAAATATTAGGATCACTTCATAATTGAAATAAACAGGCTTGGCTGTCGTACATCTCCATTCAGAGAGAGAAAAAATGAGCCAAGTTCTTTTGTCTCTCATTGGACAGGTGGCATTTTTAGAAATGACAGTCTCCCTTTCAGTAAAAGAAACATAATAAAAGGAAAAGGAAGATAAATAAATAATATTTTGGATGAGACTTTAAATGTTCTTTAAATAATTTTTGATAATGTATTTTAAATCATTACATACAACTGCCATTGCAGTGATGATATTCCAGTAGGGGTAGCATTTTGCTAAATGTAAAGGATTGCCATTTAAAACTCATACATGTACATGTGTATATACAGTTCTATCAACATTATTTATATACATATATATCTAGAACGCAACGTTTCATTGCCTTTGAATATCTATGTCCACTCCCACAATACATATTAGAGACATACTGTGTGAGTGACATGAAAGTATATGTACACATGCTCTGACATGTATATATACACTTCTGTGTGTGCATAAGAGCTTTAAAGGCACAATATATAGGGATGCAAGTTTTCTAGAGAGCTGCAGCAAAGTCAAAACAATGTCACAATTGCAAGAAAAAAGCAAAAGGAAATATAGCAGAATTCATTATGCGAGAATTCATTAAAGCAGTTTCATCATAAAAGTAGTTACAGAACTCAAGAGGCTTATATGGGACTTTGTATGCTTCCATTAAAAGGCAAATGGTAAATTTAAGATTAAACTAAAACATAAAACAAATTCCTTAAATGACAATTCAATGACAAATGTGTAAATAAACCTAACACTATAAGTAATATTAATCATAAAATCCTAAGAGGTTTTTTTTTCAAGTAAAATATCCCCAAAATTATCTAGGTAAAACTTTCAAAATTAGTTTGGTTTGAATATTGGCTCTATGTTTGTTTTTGAGATGAATATGACTACCGAATTCTTAAGATTACCACAGAAAATCTATGGTATTCTACAAATTGTACCTTTTCAGAAAATTTCAGAGATAAAGATCTTAAAAGAAACAGTTTAGAAGCTCATGAAGTCTGTTTAAGCCCAATGCTTCTAGCTAGAAAGGTGAAGGTTAATTAAGGAGGGAAAACAGTCATTTGTGGTATTTTCCCGAAGTGATGAGAGACTGACTGGAAGCTGGTGAAGAGAACGGTGGGCCCTGTGAGTAGGAACAGTTAGGACAGGTACTCACTCATGAGAGCCATGAAGAAGACTGATCCAACGGACTTCCACCTTAGCATGCTCTGATACTGTAGACCATCCCCCGCTCTGGCTTAGAGAATAACCCAGAATTTTCCACAGATAAAAGGCTGTTTACCTATTACACACACACATTTTTAGGGAAATATATGTATATAGCTTTATCTATACACACACATATACATACGTGTATATATAGATTTATACAAATGTATAAATAAACATAAAACTTTTCAATCTTTCCAATGACAAGGCAAGTTCACATTCAGCAAAGTGCCACCACATCCCATATACACATCTCTGTACAGATATACACAGAAGGGTCTGTTTTCACCCTGCAATCAAAGGGAATTTATTGTAACAAATCCCATTAACCAGCAACTGAAGGGAGAAATGGCACCAATACAAACTCCCTTCTTTCATTTGCATGCATATATACAAGGAATATGCAATTTTTTAAAATCCAAAAGCAAGGATGAATGAAACTGAGAGATGCTATAAAAATACAACTGTAAGGAAAAACACATAAAGCTTTCCTAGGTCTTCTCAGATGAAGGAGGCCTCAAAAACAACTATCAATTCAGACGTATTATCAGAAGTTCATTTTGAAATATTTCCAAGTACATTTTAAAATACTAAAAAATGTGACTGGAGTACTTAACTGTAGTTTTGAATATTTTATACCACAAGATACTCTAGTAAAGAATGTATAGCAAAATAATAACTTAAAACTCAAAATATAGAAATGTATTTTTAAAAAATTCCACATGAATCAGTAAAAGTCAAGGGTAGCATAATTTTTCCAAAAGATGAGCTCAGGAGCACTCTAACTTTATCACTAAGGGCAAAACTGAATATAATTTTTAAAAAAGTTTTAGAAAGAGCTGAAATCATCCTACCTTTGAAATATGTGTGGTGAAACAATCCCACCAACTCCTGAAACAAAGCAGCCCCTTTAAATAATTTATAAAGGCCCATAATTTCTAACTTCACCAAGAAAAGATAATCAACCACATCTTATAACTCAGAATAAAAAAAAAAAATCTACAATTAAGAAAGCTCAACAGATCTCTGGTCCCATGACCCCAATAAATAAAGCTCCTGTCTGGATCTGTCTGTCTTTCCCTCTCTTGATTTTTGTGTTCAAAAGTGAGAGGTTGGTCTTAGAATCTGCTGTTTTTCATGTCACTTTAAAAACACAGGTTAATTCAAAGGTTAAAATAAAATGCACATGATATCAGAGCTAGCCTTTTAACATAACAAAACGAAGAATTTGGTGTATTCATGCAACACACAATGAGACAGTAACTCTTATACCCTCAACTGCATGAGCCATAGTTCTACAATACATTCGGTTATCTTTCTGTATTTTTATGTAAGTACACAGTCATCTCTCTCACATGTGCCCCCAATGTATATTTTTGCATGTGTGTAAAAAACACAGACATAAACATGCACACAAGAAACTTAATTTTGTTTTAAAGTCACAGTGGGAATTCCTTTGTGAGGAGGGATAAAAAAATTCCTGAATAAGATACTGAGAACATCTATTATTTTCTCTATTTTTACTTCCCAACTTACAGAATAAACTATAAATTAAAGAACAAATCCATAGGAAATAAAAGAGGTCTTAAAACTTAGTTTATAAATTCCAGCTACAGTAGTTGGAGTTTTACTTGATCTATGTATTTCTATTTACCCTGTAACTAAGCTTCTAGCCATCTTAAGTGTAAACCACAGATCATTCACTAAAGAACATGATTCTCAACAGTTCTATGAACAATAATAAATGGTCTAAAGGTGTTCTACATTTTGATGCCCCAGGATATCCTTTTGTTTTATATATCTGCAAGGTAGCAAAGGATAGCTATACACCTTGACACGGCAGAGATCCAGTGTAAAAAGGTGCTTCACTAGTTTGTTTTGCCAAAAAAAAAGCTCATATATAATTTTTTAGCTATTAAACACATAGCAACATAATTCATTACACTCAATACAGCTTTAGTATAAAACTTATAATTTATGAGGTGATGTTAATAGCATAAATTAATATACCTTTTCTCTTAAAATCTACAATAAGTATTCTGAAAGCTCACTGGGGAAGGAAATTTTTAAATAAAAGTTTTAAAGCTGTGTGTGACGGGAAAGGAGTCTGTCTACATACGCTGAAGCTGAGATGAGAGCCTGAAGCAGAAAGGAAAAGGTCCTAGGCAAGACACCGTGGGCTATGAAACAAAGTGTTTTCTTTCTTGCGCTCTCTTCAATGGTGAGTCACCTTTAGTTTCTCTTAAAACTATTTTCTTATTTTAAAAACTGCCCTAATTTCCGCAAGGAATCCCTGAGACATACTCAATACTATACAGTGAAAAGAACTGTCACTGTTGAGAGGAACTGATTCAACCCTTCCAAACAAATGAAAACAATGTCACCACATGTTAAATTTTCCATCATGGCAGCACTAATCGGTCAGAGCCAACTTTAAGGACACAGGTTGGAGTCATTTCAGGGCAAACCAGTCTACTCCCCAGTGAAAGCAACGGTGTGGCACTGAGCTGCACTGGCGGTGTCTGCCCTGCACGCTGAAACGCTGTCCATGGGGAACTTTGGGTGCATAGAGAGCGTACTTCAGTGGTCCCCAGCTTAAACAAACAAACAAAAACAACAATGAAAGACAAATGAAATAAGAGGGTTCTACCTCTCTTCGCCCAAGATCACACAGCATCCCTCAGTCCTCAGGGTGGGCAGAAGTGAGTAGGCAGAAGGGGAAGGAAAGCCGTGCTGCCCAATGCAGCCCATTCAGAGCTCAACAGATCTTTCTTCTTACACGACTGTTTTTCAGAAAAAATTTTAGGTCACCCAAACTCTGCTCTTCAACTCTCCAAACATTACCAACTAGGGAGCACAAAGTAAAGAAAATCAGACAAAACTGACTCTTTCTAAAATGCTCCAACTTTTGATTAGCTCTATGTTACAGTGCAAAAAGCTAGAAGAGAAGAGAAGACAAAAGAAAAGAAAAGAAAAGAGAAGAGAAGAAAAAAGAAAAGAAAAGAAAAGAAAAGCTAACAAAAAATAAGGGCTGAAACAAAAAAGGGATAGGCTCCCTAAGTCTGACCCATAATTGTAGCACTACTGATACTGGTAATTAGATGACATATAAGTATTTGTGTTTCCTAACTCACTGGCCAGGGGGAAAGGGGTAACCAATATGTGTATATGTTCTTTATTTTTTTGGTACTGGGAATTGAACTCTGGACCTTATGCTTACTAGGCAAGCGCTGTGCGGCTGAGCTGTAGCCCCAGCCCTTCTGTATATGTTCTTCACTGATATTTTATTTCAAATCTTTTGAAAGACAGCATTTAAAATGTTGCTTTAAGCCAGCCGATTATTGGTGGAAACCTCAACGAACTGTGAGATAAATAAACCTTTCCTCTTTTTAAAAACAAAATAAAACAAAAATGTTGCTTTAATCTACTAAATATGATTTTGGTTCCCTTTGGAATATGATACAGGAAAGTTTACAAAAGCCAAGATATTAAGAAATCATTACACTGTTTTACTTTTCTAAGGAATGCCAATGAAGATTTAGTTATTTTCAATTTATTAAAATGGGAAAAAAAACTATGTGTATTACTACATGTATTTAATACACATAGATCTATGTATCGATAGATAACCAACAAAATATATATTTTGTTAGGAAAAAACCCTTAGTACAATCAGGTATTGGTAAAGAAAGGTAATAAATGAAGATTGTTCAGTATGAGGGAATTTCTTTCAAGGAATCCTCTAAATTGCCTCACTAAACTGGAAAGTTCTGTTGATCATTTAGTAGATCATTCTATTAGATTGTTTAGTATGTACTTGAACAGAATTTAGAAGTTTAAAAGAAGGCTAAAAAGAAAGGATGAAGTAACTGAAAAGTATACACCCAAAACAACTGTAATAAACTTCAAACCTATTAAGTAATTACTTTAGTGTTAATACCTCATGTTTTTGTAATACCAATCCACAGCAACCTTTCCACTAAGCTGGAGAGGAGCACTACTGCTGAGTGGAAGCACTGCTGCTGAAGCCTACAGTGTCCCCAGTACCCGACGCAAGGCACAGAAAGGACTGCAGGCCAGGACCAATGAGCTGACATTAAAGGGCTGCCAATGCGGTCTCATATTCTGAAGCAAATTACCAACAGTATGAGCTATAGGTCCACCGAAACCTAACTTCTTTCCTGTGAAAGGAAACTCTATGCACAGGACACCATGTGTGTGGCAGACACTGCAAACTGGGACCAGGAACTAGGGATGAGCACTAACCAGGGAGAGCTTTAGTGTTAGTTACAGAGAGTGAGTTAGCCTCGAGCTGAGAGACTACTCAGAAGTACATCTTATAAATAGTTATTTGGCAAAAATAAAGTATTAGCTTTCTTTAGCCTTAAACCACAAAAGGTGGTAATACCAAATTTTAAGAAAAATAAAATTTAAAATAATCACTTTCCAACTTGTTCTCCATACCTACTATTTGCTTCTCATGAAATTATAATCTTTCCATAGAGGGACACTAGACATACCACACTGCCTGCCAACATTAAATTGCTCAGGAAGTCATTAATAAAGCAGGTGTATCGCACACGGTAGGTCTACTAGAGAAAATAATCCTTTTGCTGTATAAGCTATGCGACAATAAGTAGAAAAATTTTTTTATTGCATAGTCTGTAACTTGGTGGGTTAAATGTAATTGCTATTTACTATCCTGAACTGTTTACTAGCTACATAACCTACCCAGGTGTGAAAACTGCTAAGCCATTTTGACAGAGCAAAAAACAATGCCTCATGTGCTTTTTTAAAAATGATATTAACAGTTAAAGGAGAGAAAGCCCATCTTTTCATCAGATGCTAGAAATCACAGTCAGTGAATAACAACAGGTCCTCAGAGAACAGAATGCATCATTAACTGCAGCAAATTTGAAACTTCAGTCACAGTACATACTCTAACTGGCCTTTACGAATGGTCCCCAAGAACTGCAGAAACAGTGAAACTTTTTTGCCACTATTCCTTGTGTGTTAAACACTAGAGTAAGAGCTATTTTCTACCTAATTAGGAACTTACATAAGATGTTTCTGATTCCAGTATTGCCTTATGATAACACAAGTGCTATTTTAAGAGACATCAATTTTTATCATTTTGGAGTAAAAGATACTTCATTCTTTATATACCTATAGCAAACCTACTACTAACAGGCTAGAACTGCTCCAGTAAGTAACAGAAAAACGTAACAGGTCTCTCTGGGCTTACAGATGTTCTTCTCTCTTCTAACAAGGGATTCACAGAAAACAGTATGAGCAAAGCGAAGCGAAAGCTTGGATATTTATTTTGAAGTAGATGAAAAGAGGGGAAGTGTTTCTGTTAATTATTCAACCCTACACTGGTACTTTCTAAAAGTGCCCTTTTTTCGGCTACCATCAGGGGCATCTAAACAAAGTGAACGTACTGAATGTTTTTGGTGTGAAGCTGTAACTGGCAACATTCCCGATCGTTTCATGCCTCCTTGCTAGAAAGCAAAGAAGGGCTTTTAAATGCACATAAAACAGAACATTGCAAACAATACAAGTGCAACTTACTGCAAACTCAGTTCTGACGGCTGAAAAACTTTAAGCAGCTAACACAAGAAACAAATAGCCAGAAAAAGTTCAAATCAACTACCACGACTTCCTTCGTTGTCAAAAGACAGATAAGAAAGGCCCTGTGCTGCTCTGCTACAACCTTTCATTAGTACACAACAGAGACCAAACAAAACTGCCAGGAGTGTGGTTATCTAGTGATGGTTATAATGGGATGTGAAAACAGCTTAGCAAACTAAATGACACTTTTGAGCAGAGGTAACTACTCATCATCATTTTGTTACAGTGCACTAAAGTAAAAAAGCTTACTGACATAGGTTCACAGGTGAGAATTATTCAAATTATCTGCTCTCACCACTCAGAATAGAAATTTATGGTGATACCAAATATAATTTTGCTTTGTGACATAATTTATAATTTAGAAATTTCTCAATCTGCAAAAAAGACAAAGCTATTAAAAATAAATCTTCCAATTAATAAACATGATTCTTTAAAAAAAAGTAAATATATTACAAACATATTTTGGCCCCCCAAAAAAACTTCAATAAATACAAAACAGGGCATATCATGATTTCACACAAGCATGTGACATTTTCCCCCATTGGTTCAGGCGCGTGGTATCTGCATAATGCCTGATGATCACCATCATTCTTTTAAAAAGCACAGAAAGAAAAGCTTTCAAAGGAAGGGTCTGGTTGTAACTAGCACGGTGTGAACATACATACAGGAAGTAGGAAAATACATCAAATTTTTACCTATTAGGAAAGAAGGAAGATGAAATGCTCCCTGACGAATGGATTGTTGTACCACATCATCAATACATATGCTCTACTTGTCTTTTAAAATATATATGTGTAAATTAGACTGGATTCAGGTATAAATAGTCAATGGTATTAAGGGATAATGAAACTTCACAGCAAAAGTAAAGATGCCTTTAAAATCTAGCTCCGCCCTTCTGGGGGAAGTTGGAGGGAGAGGCAAGAAGAAACGTCACATACTCGTATAGTTACCAACTAACTAAACTACCCAATGTGACTTGTAACCCTAAAATTCTGGTGCTTTAAAAGAATTTCCCCAACCTATTTCCAAATTTACTTAAACTTAAGTACTTAAATTATTTTAAAAGTACCAAATATAGGTACAATTTGTCTAATTTCCACATTCTGCGTTGAAACAAACTTTAAAATGTGTATCCTTCAGATATTACACATCACTTCACAACTGGTACACTGATTCTACAAGCATCTTCAACATTTTACAAATCTTACCAAAGAATCACTACTGTAAACATGAAAAATTCAAACGCAAAAGATGGACCAAGGAGTTCACAGATTTTATCTTTCAAATCTATCTCACCTATTCTGCCTTTTCACATCAAAATAGTTCCTTCAATTACGTCTTACAAATGTATTCCATGAGCAAGGGACTTAAAACAAATGCGTATCTGAAAAGGGCAAAGTGACCACCCTATGGCCACTCCAGGCAAACTTCCCATAACATCCCCTTGCTGACACGACTTCCGCTTTCTGTGTCCCGTTTCCTCATGGACCAACTCTTAACAGAAAAAGGTCGTGCTGTTCACACAACCAGGCCATCTAGCTCTCTATTCAGGAAATTTTAATTAACTCAATGGGACAGAAGGAGCAACATTACTAGAGTATGAGAACATGGGAAAGGAAAAAAGAGCCTTCTCCTTATAGGAGGTTAAAAAACAAACAACGGGAAGGCTACCTCCTGCACTGCACAAAACATACGCATGGGCGCACACACTCACAGGTGGTCAAAGGTGCTGCTTCCGCTGCAGTCAACCCTGATCATGAGCAGGAGTGGCATCCTGGCCTTGCCTGGAGGCTGGCAGCCAGCGCTGAGTCAGAGCCTCGACCCGCCTCTCCGCACCACCCATTACTTCCTACACAGGAACCCAGTGAACGGGTCATTCTACCTGGACCCACCTACGTAGAAACCTGGCTGAGGAATGGAAAGCACTAATCTGGATGCTAGCAAATAGTAAAGGGCACTGGTAATCTGAGGTATCTTCCACTGCTAGGACTTGCTGCTCAACATCGATCCTCTCCAGTCACTGTGCTGAACCACCAGGAGACGGCCAGGCCGCTGGGCCTGCCAGAGGGAAGGAGCACCAGTGCCGAGGAGCACGTGTGAATACTGAGGCAGGCCTGGCAGACACCTGCTGGACTGGGAGGGTGGTGCCCCTCTCATCCCCGTCTGCGACTTGGAAATCTGTTAGGAAAGGGGAGAGGGGTGCTAAAGAGGAAACAAAGAAAGCCCCGGTTCCCGTCTGCCTGGAGACACACACACACCGACGCGATCAGTTAGGGGAGGGGAAAGGAGAGGATGCATTACTGGTACTCGTGGTGGTGGCACCTGTCACTGTGAAGCCTGTAGGGGGCGCTATGGAGCTGTGGCTGGGCTGCAGGTCCTTGGGGATGCCACTGTGAGCACTCAGCTGGTGGCCGAAGGCTGCGCTGAACTGAGGGAGCTGCTGCTTGGGAGAGGTGGAGGCCATGAGTTCTGCAGAAGGCCCCATGCCACTGAAGCTGGTCTGCGGCAACCCCGGGAGCACGCTGGAGCTGCTGGGGGTTGCGGTGGCGAAGGCAGGCTGTGTGGTCTCTGAGTTCGAGGTGGTGGGCGGTGTGGAGAGGGAAGTGGAGAGAAGATGTCCGTCTGCGCCGAGAAGGTTGCTGAATGGAGAGGGCTCGCCGAGGTTGACGGGCAGGTTGCCCCAGTGAGTTCTAGGGTTTACCACTCCTCCCAGTGGCACCTCAAGTTGTGTGGGGAGCAAGTGCTGTGCCATGATGGGCATCTCTGCTGAAAAGGTAGCTGCCATATTATCACCGGAGTATGATGTTGTGTGGGGCGAGGTGATATGGTCACTGTAGGGAGACGGCACGTGCTCACTATCGTAATGGCTTCCATGGGGCGAGGAGTGTGAATGGTCACTGCTGTATTGCTGTCGTGAGGTGATCAGGTCATCTGCCTTGCTCAGCAGCTGGGCAGGATGTGGCCTCTGGGAGGCATGGCTGCCGTCGTGGACTCCGTGAAACGGTCCTGGGAAGGCTCTCTCCCCGAGTGCACTCTGGCTGATCAGAGTGGCAGAAGTAAGGCCAACGTTGGCTGGGGCAGAGAACTGCCCCTGGATCTGCCCTGCCAGGGGTGTAGGTGGGTTAGACAAGGTAGCAGAACGGAGCAGGTTCTCATCCAGCTCTAAACTAGAAAAATTATCAGGTACTATACGCCCATTCAACAGCTCCCCTAGATCCGTGTTCACATCTCGGCTCAAGGACTGGATTCCTGAAGCTCCAGTGCCCGTGGAAAACACCCCTATTCCTCTCTCTGACAACTCCTGGACTGGCACACCATCTGAATGGGAAAGTACCCCAATGGTACTCAGGCACTCGAGAGAAGTTACGGCCTGCAAGGCCCGCTCAAGCTCCTCGGCCTCTTCACTCATTGGAAGGAGGTCTCCATTCTTTCCTGAGTCGAGAAAAGGCATCAAGAATCAGTGGAGCGCATGTCTGTCTACAGTGCAATAATCACACATTTGAACTATTCTAAATAACATTCCATTGAAAGAGACTCCCTCATGACAGAGACGTTTCTAAGAACTGGCTCCAAAGGAAAAAGCCAATCTGAAATATCAGCTCTCCTGAAACGTGAACCATCATCTTCAGTTCATAGTATTCTCAAAAACCATTTTATCATCTGGGCATGGCAGCGCATGCCTGTAGTCTCAGCTACTCAGGAGGCTGAGGCAGGATGATCACAATTTCTAAACCAGCTCAAGCAACTTGGCAAGACCTTGTCTCAAAATAAGACTCCAGTTCTGCCCAAAAGCAAGCAAAACAAAAACCATTTCATTAACTTCTTCGGAACCCTCTGGATTACCAATGTAAAACCCATAATGACCATGTGATTATGCAGGTCTTATCTAAAGTTACATCAGCATCCCTAAAACAGCAAACAAGGCTGTGGAGAACAGTGCCCCCTGCCAGGTCTGCGCCGACCTTCTTCCAGCCAGAGGGCAACTGGGGAGACCAGAGCACAGAACTTCAGGTGCACAGTGTATACAGCACAGGGCTTTTCAAAATGCTTTTGCTTTACCTGCTAATTCTTCTCATTCTTCCCCAATTTTCAGCCCACAAATATACTTCCACTTCAGTTTCAATATATTAAAAATCTACTGTTAGGAATTTGATTAATCACCATGGAAATATCTAATTTTTAGTGGCAAGAAAAAATTCCAAGAATATAAAATATATCCCTTGAAACCACTAGGACAAGCACATTTTATTCTGGAAAAGTGCACTGTAGTTGAAAGACAAGGGAGTGTACTAAAATTAGGGCAGGCTTCCTTTTTTCCTTTTTCTCTCCAACATTGGGCATTGAATCCATGCTAGTCACATGCTATACCACTGATCTACACACCCAGCCCTTCGTTATTATTATTTTATTTATTTTCAGAAAGAGTCTTGGCTTAGTTGACCAGGCTGGACTTAAAAATTTGAGATTCTCTACCTCACACTCCTGAATAGTTAGGATTAAGGCATGTACCACTACATTCTGCAAAATCAGGAAACACTTCTAACAGACTGCAATGAACTTATATTTTAAATGTCTTTGGCCTGGGCATATAGCTCAGCGGCATAAGCGCCTGCCTGGCAAGTGCAATGTCGTGAGTCTGATCCCTGGTACCGCAAAAAAAAAAGTCTTTATTTTAACATAAAGATGTAAAATTATTCATTTTAAAGGAATGAAGCTATAGATCTCACCATCAAAGTATAAATCTATTGAGCATATAACATGGTTAAACAAATTACAGTCTGCACTTCTGCAAAGGGTAAAATGACTTTAGGAATAATATACATATTTCAAATCTACGGTGAAAAACATGTTATATGAGGAGGAACATTTCAGATACACTCCCCAAAACGATTTCCCTTCTCATAAACTCATTCTTCACACCAGTTTCTTTTATCAAAATATTGACCAGACCTTCAAAAAAATCAAAATCCTGTAGGTCATCAGGTAGCCTGGGCAGGACGTCGGAGAAGTCCTCCTGGTTCAATTCCAAGTCGTGTGGAATGTCACTGATCTCATTGGCAATGTCTTCTGGCAACTCATCAGCACTCAGCTCTGGGGTGGATGGGCTCCTGTAAGACAATGCAGTTGCTCCGGGACCCCACCCTGCACACAGTGCCGCCAAGACAAGTTCATTCAACACAAAAAGAACCTAATGTCTGTTAGGCTTTTTATACTCAACTGAAGCATGGAAAACCGTAACGGAAAACATCTTCCCTTCTTGATGAGGATATCTGAGAGTAGACACATTGCACAAAAGACAGACCTATTGTGCCTTTTGGATCTTATATAGTTTCAGTTTCTTACACTAGGGAGACAATCGATAATAACTGTTGTTAATTTCCTACCATTTTGTTTTGAAATTTTGCATCATTTTATTAGTGCTTTAAAAAAGAAAGAAAGAAAGAAAGACAGACAGACAGACCTGATCACAATCTGTAACCTATATCAGTAACTGAGGTAAGACAATCCATACTAGATGGTAGTTTCACTTTAAATTAAGAGAATGAAGCCAGGCATATAATTCCAGCACTCGGGAGGCTGAGGCAGGAGGACTGTGCTATGAGTTTGATGCCAGCTGGGGCTATCTAGTGAGTTCAAGGTCAGCCTGAACTGCACAGCCAGATCCTGTCTCAAGAAACCAAATAAATAAATAAATAATTTTGAAAAAACTTAAGAGAATGAATTGCAATTTTTATAAAGCGTATGTTAGTACTTTTTAGTAGAATTTCAAACCTGGTCAAAATAATCTTTAAAAAATGAAATAAAGAGGCAAAATTAAAATGTTTAAATGAAACAGAAGCCATCTATCTGGTCAAAATGGTTAAGTCTGATAAAATTAATAACGTATCACGTCTTATGAAATGTTCGTTAGAACACATGGAATTCATTTTAAAACAGAAAAATCTGAGAATATACTGTTACACTCTCAATTTCAGCATCTGCTCCCCCTTTGCTGTAGTCAGGAGTCCTGATGTCGGTAAAATCTATACACAAGACTACAAATAACTCTGGGCTGCTGGACCGCACAGCTATGATGCCCACTTGACGACAGCAGGCACTTTGAGAACATCAGAAAAGGCAGGGAAAAAGCAAAGCTGCGCCACCACTGACCGGAGGGGAGGGGCCTCCACTGGCAGTGAGACGCTGGTGGGCATGCTGAGGTTCCCCTGGGGGACTGCGGGGGGAATAGGCTTCTGGGGTCGACGAGGTCCACGCCGTCTCTTTTTCTTGTGTTTTTTGGTAAGTGCAGGAGGCTTGGTTTTTTTCCTGGGTTTCCTCTGCTGCTGGTGCTGAACTTTACGGGAGTTATCTCCTCTCAAGAAATTATCCTTTGGAGTGAATAAAAAAGATGTTTAAACCGAGATTATCCACTTCCACTCTCCGTTTGTTACTGTACAGTAAGGTGATTAAAGATAAAAATAATATTCTGTACATTTTAACCACTGAACAGTCTACCCAACATCACTCAGGCACTAAGTTTGTTTACCTACTGACTACCCTGCATGCCGTTCAGCACGTGCCTTTTCAACCAGTCCATTCTGTGCACGAGATACACCCACAATCTCTTTTTGTATTGACTATTTTTTTACATACTTTATTTAGAACACTGTCTTCACCTTTGATGCTTGTCTCTAATGAAATCTAATAATAAATTCTAGTTATTTTCTTTTATTAATTTGTGTTTATTTTATTTGTGAAAAGTAATCTATGAATTTTGTGCTATAATCTATAAAAGCTTTTATTATAAGTACACGGCATATAATCTTTATACTTCTCCAAAACTCAGGGATATTCTTTTATAACACAAAACCGACATGTTTGGGACACTGAGACTGAATAGGAAAGGAAGTGCCAAAAGATCTGCAAAAGAAAAAAGTGAAAAAGGGAGAAATGTTGGCATATCAGAGAGGAAAGGTCTACGCTATGAAATGGAAAGACAAAAAAGTTATCCCCTTGTTGTCAATCCTCATAATACAGAAATGATAGAACTGGAAAGAAATGAAACTTAAAAAAATTCCAGGCGTAGTCGGTGATGATAGCAATACGATGGGTGGTGTTGACAGAGTTGATCAACATCTAACAAGTTATCCTGTCATCAAAAAGCAAGGAAACAGGGAACGTGTGGTGGCGCATGCCTCTGATCTCAGCACTCAGGAGGCTGAGGCAGGAGAATGGCTACAAGTTCAAGGCCAGCCTGGGCTACATAGCAAGACCCTGTCTCAAAAAAGGAAAAAAAAAGGAAAAAAAAAAAAAAAAAAAAAAAAAAAGAAAAAGAAAGGAAAGGAAAGGAAAAAATATTATTGTAAAATATTTATACACCTGTTGGACCAAACAAAATGGAACTCGTTTGTTATTTGTTTGAAACAAAGGGGTTCAAAAAGTCATTTACAATTTAGACTAGGTCTAATAGATCAAATAATTGACAAATAAACACGGGATAGTGAAATGCCAACTAGGATATCCATCATTGATGTCTTCACCACTACAGTTAGTGGGCAGATACTTCACTGAAATTATGCACCCACAGAAAAGAAGGAAAGGCCAACACCACAGTGTAAAGTGTGCTATTCAAAGGACAATAATGCAAAACATTATTTGGAAAGATTTTAGATATTGCTGTCCAGATTGTAATGCTGCACTGTGTTTTGAATGTTTAAGATGTACCATATCCTGAATAATTATTGAATAAATCTGCTATAACTGCTGTTTTTATATTTCCTGTTATCTTATAAAAATTAGAAACAACAGAACTATGCAATTTTTGGTTATCCTGTATTTCGATAATTAGACTGATAAGTAGTTTAACAAACTATGCTGGGTATGGCAGCACACACCTACAATCCGAGCACTGGGGAGGCTGAGGAAGGAGAGATCACCAAGGATTCCAGGCCAGCTCAGGCCACTTAGTGAGTTCAATGTCAGCCTGAGCTGCATAGTGAGACCTTGTCTCAAAAATCAAACGAACAAACAAATAAACAAGCACAAACAATAACAACTAAAAAAAGCAAAACTAAAAGGATTTTTAAAGTTTTTACCATAAAAAAAGATAAATGTTTGAGGAGATAAGTTTAACCTGACTTAAACATTATACAATATATACATGTACTGAAAGATCAAATGTCATCCCATTAGTATGTACAATTTTTGTGTTTTTGTAGGGTTGGGGATCTGCAGACAAGAAAACAAGAGGCTCCTTATGTCTTCCAGCAAATCCTGACTAGGAGTTAAACACAAACTACTAGAGAGATTCCCTTGGGAAATAGGTCAAGGATGGGCTTAGAGAAAGAAAAAAACAGATAAAGAAAGGTACCAGATGGCCTTGGGACGTGCACCAAGAGACCAGAAAAAGAGCTGACAGGCAGAACACAGAGAGAAAGCCAGGCACACAAATGATACTCCAATAAAATATAGGGGAAGGCGTGTGTGTATGTGACTAAGGCAGGATGTACTCAAACCTCTGCACTAACATCTTCACGTATACACGTGTGTTCACTCTGGAGTCATTATTCACTCTAGGGTCATTACAGAGTATAACAGATATCCACTCTACATTATTCACTCTAGGGTCATTACAGAGTATAACAGATATCCACATGTCTCCTTACTAACTCTAACCTAACTATTAATAAGACACCCCCTAACTAGCTGCTCACAGCAAAGATAAGGCCTTAAAAGGTAGTTCAAGGACAAGAAAACAGACAGAAAGAAGCTGCCCATAGACCACTGGAAGAAATGATGGAGGGCAGAGGTGCCCGGAAGCCAATTCAGTAATGGCAAGTTGAGGGGAGAGGGGGCGGCCTCTAAACCCACCCCCCATAAAAGTAGCTGAGGACAAAAGCCCATGGGTCCTCCATCTCTGTGGAATCCCCTGCCCTGATTCTTTCTTATCAGGGTAACTATCTTCTTTCCTCCTTCCTTTTTCTCTTTATGAGTAAAGTGTCTTCCTTTCATTAAACTTGGTCCCTCTAATTTATTATTGGGGCTAAGTTAGGATCCTGGGGGACAGCTTGGGCAGCACAGCAGCAGTGTTCATCTCCCGGATGTGTTATCTTTGGTTCCCTGAACAGGAGCCAGATGTAACATTTTCATGTATTAGTTAAAACAAACTTAATTTTTAAAAATTAGATTACCAGAGGAAAATCTAACAACACTCTTTAAAAAAAGGAAAAAAATCTTGTTCTCATAGTAGTCTATATAATACCCAAACCACTCAAAGTATATTTAATAATTAAAAGAACAAAAAACAGTCATTTAATTCACATTGATTCAACTCATTCTGCATTTCAAAGACATCTAAGTGTCATAGCACGTGAAAAAATTTTATTTGTGGTCTTCAAGAAGTTGCTCTCCTACAGGAAAAACACGAATAAAAATATACATAAATATAGTACACAAAAGGAAAATTACCTGTAGTTCCGTGAGATTAAAGGATAAGTAAGATTTTAAATGGTGGAAGAAACAGCATAAATGAGAAAAACAGCAAAGAACTGCACGTGCTGCTATTTCGGGTATCATGGGGATAAAATACAAAGTAAGCTGTAAAGAAGTTTGGGCCGAGAAGGAGCATAACTTTGATCATCTTGTTACAGATTCCACACTACAGATTCCACACTTTATTGAACAGGCAATGCAGTGCTGTTGGCTGTGTTTCATTTCTGTGGTTCTGGGGTAGAACCCAGGCCCTCCTGCACAGAACCCTTTACGTCTGAGAGCTCCACCGAGGCTCTGGGTTTCTAGGTTGGGTGACTTAGGTGAGGATAACACTAGTTGATACTTAATTCAGAAGAGAAAATAAGGAATTCAGCGGGCCTCACATACAGTCTGAAGTAGGCAGATGCCTTGGGAGCGGCGGAAAAGCTGTATCTGTACACAGGAACAAAGAAAGGATGAAGATGCCGACAGGGAAATCCATGACACAAGGAGTTTATGTGAGCAGAGAGATAATGTAAAGAGAAAGGACAATGAGCGCACAGCTTTATGGACCCACTAAGAACGGGACTGGTGCCTCAGGAGACCCCAGAGATGTAGATGGCTCCATCTCTACCACAGGAGAATACAAGGATGGCAGGGTTCAACACAGAGGAGAGGCCCTCCACAGCCCACCCACACGGGCACTGTTTGGGACTTCTGGCTCCTGCAACTGAGAAATACATTTGTTTCTTATAAGCTCCCTAGTCTGAGGCATGGGATACAGCCCCCTGCACCAAGACACCATACTTCATCAATTCCAGGATGTACACTTTCTTTATAATCACTGTCTTACTATGGCTGTTGGTGAGGTGACGGTCATTATAGTTGGCTCTGCCTACACACATACTCAGGCTTGACTACAGGTTTCAGGCTGGCATCATTTGAATGAAGATGTGCAACTTGAGGGAAAATGTTTGTGTATACAGAAAGGCGTAGAGAGGAAAACATATGACTGATACTAGTGAAACAGGTGCTCATATTGAAGAACTAACCACAACTCTTGGGTCCTAAGTACAGAACAACAACCAAGTGAGTAAAGAAAATAACTACAAAGTGATGAAGTTGTTTTACAGCTGAAATGCACAGAAAATACTGACTTTTACATATCCACTAGTAACAGCTGAGATTAGGAGTGACTCAGATTTAGATAAAAATCCATGTCTACCCCGTCTGTAGTGACAAATACCTGTGATCCCAGCTACCTAGGAGGCCGAAGCAGGATGACCACAATGCTCTCTCTTACTTCAAACACATTCATGCCATCATTCTTGCCACTTTCTTTTTGGTTCTGTTTGTTTTGTCTTGCTATGCAGTTCAGGCTGGCCTTGAACTCCTGGTGATCCTCCCAACTCAGCCTCCCCAGTACAGGGTTACAGGTGTGTGCCACCATGCCTGGTTCATTCTTGCCACTTTCTGAAGAAGTTCTGGAGGTTATTTTTCTTTTGTACTGTTCTTTATTTTTTGAGACAGGGTCTCACTATGTATTTCAGTCTGGGCTTGAACTCACTATGTAGCCCAGGCAGGTCTCAAACTTGCAACAATCCTCCTGCCTCAGCCTCCCGAGTGCTGGGATTACAGGGGTGCACCACCATGCCTGGCTGGAGGTCCCTTTTCTAGAGTGCCTTAGTTGCACTGTCATGGCTGTCTTGATGTCCTGAATTGATTGAAAAACGTTTATCTTTCATGGTCACTTTGACTTTGGGAAAGCCAGAAGCGACAAGGTAGGGTTACTAATGTGGATGAGGACCCGCCGTACCGTTTGGGGGCTGCCTTTCTTGTCAGTGCAGCACTCACCATACTCCTTGGCACACCTTCTAAAGACACGGATGTGTGCGGAAGAAGAAGGGCAGAACAGGAAAAGAGAGTAAGTAAAACAATCATATCTAAGGAACTATATAGATCGAGTATTCTTTATTTGAAATGTTAAGGGACCAGAGGTGTTTCAGACTTTGGAGTTTTTCCAATTTTGGAAAATCTGAATGGAATTCACGGACGAGCATCCTTAATTCAGAATTCTGCAATGTGAAACTGGAAAGGCGCACTGTCCTACATCACAAAGCCTTTCTTACTGGAGACAGCCACGGATAGTCTGAAAGCCTGTGGCGGAAAGCAAGACCAGGACTCACCATTTTCTTGGCATGTTCTTCACACAGTGGTGTCTGGTGTGTGATGTCGAACACTGGCACCGAGCACTGCTGCCCATCTGCGAACTTGGCGGTACAGCTGGAGAAGAGCTGCTGAGAGCGGTTCAAGAGGATGTCTGGGTTTTGAGGTCAAGGTTGACATACACCAAAAAGCTACTTAATTCTTCACTCTATATAAAATGTTTCCTCCCTTGCTTGTGTTTTGCAAATGTGAATTTAATTTTACTGGTACCGGGAATCTAACTAACTCAGGACCTCATGCTTGCCAGGCAGGCACTTATGCCACTGAGCTATATCCATGGCTAAATGTGAACTTTATTATCTGCAAAAGTGGGCCCCGGGATATAGCTCAGTAGCACAAGTACTGCCTGGCAAGTACAAGGTTCTGAATTCCCAGTACCAAAACAAACAAACAAAAAACAAAAGCTAAAGTGCCAAGCCAACTATGGACAGGAGGAAATGCTAATGGTGATCCTGTCAGCATGCTGTCAGAGAACCTCCTGGAACAGCCTGTATGGCTGGGGGTTCCTGACAGCCTCTGATGGCGATGGGTAACCATCTCTGTTCCTTAGAGAAGCATGACCACTTCTTAACAGACTAATTCCTAAAACTTCCACTGGAACAAACTTTTTTATTTTGTAACACACTTCTAAAAATAAATAAATTTATTTATTTGTTTGTTTGGTCAGTCAGTCAGTCTTTTTGAGATAGGGTCTTGCTATGTAGTTCAGGCTGGCCTTGAGCTCACTTTGTAGCCCAGGCTGGTCTTGAACTCACAACAATCCTCCTGCCTCAGCCTCCCCAGTGCTGGGACCACAGGCATGCACCACCACACCTGGCTAATGTAATACACTTTTAAAAAGAAAATTTTAGGCTTAAGATTCTCATTGAGGAGAATAAAAATTTAAAGATATTGTTATTAAAAACACATCTGTCCAAAGTTTAATTTTTCATTTTGCATTTCTAACACCAAACTCAAATTCAGAATTATGAAAAAAAAAAAGATTTTAAAATTAATATTTTACTTACAATGGGAATATCAGTTTTCCATCATCAACACTTTGGAAAATTCATGCTCTTAGCTGCTGTTTCTTCCTAACATTTACTTTCTGGGCAGGGTGTAGCTCAATGGTGAAGTGCTTATTAGCAAGCACTAGGCCCCGTTTGGTTTCCCAGTATCACAAAACACATTAATTCATCAATCAACCAATGAAAAAGGCTTATTTTCTATCTAATAAGGAAGTACCTTTGTGTTTTTCCTTTATGGTGTATAGTTATTTATAAAACCTTTATTATGTAGACACTTCTGCTGAAAAGACTATAAAAATACAGTTCTAACAACAGAAAGAGGGCAAAAATAAGAGTGCAAAGAAGAGTACCTAACTGCTGCTATATAACTTTTAAAAATATTTAATGGAAGTGTTAGTAATAAATTTCATGAGCCTGAAGCTCCTAAGGTAAGTTTTCCTCAAGGGTATCTTAAGGGACTTTCTTTCCTAGCCAGTGACATTTGTGAGCAAGCTTCCTTCCTTGCTTACTTTCCCTTAGGTTTTTTGAGACAGGGTCTCACTATGCAGTTCAGGCTGACCTTCAGCTTACTATGTAACCCAGGCTGGCCTTGAACTCATGCAATCCTCTCACCTCAGCCTCCCAAGTGTTGGGATTACAGGCGTGCACCGCCATGCCTGACTTGTTATCTTTATCTCACATGAGCACTGTACTCACTACAAAGACCAACTTAATCCTGTAGCATAAGGTGTGGTGTGAAACCTTATAACTGCCTTAGAAGACTAAAAACTAGATTTTTAAACACTATGCTTTGATTTTTCCATCAATAATTGCTATAGTTGCTTTTTCAAGCTATGTGGAACCAGAACTCTATTAATAAAATAATTAAAACCTTGCTTGTTAGAACTTGATTTTTGAAACAATTTTGTTTATAAATCAATTACAATCAACTACAACTTGCAGGAAAAAAGTATTCAAAGGATGTCATGAGAATTAGTTACATGAAAATTTCAAACTTTATGATTTCAAAGTAATTTCCTTCCTTGATTTAGAAATGAAGTACAGCCATCCCTAGCAATAGAGCATGACAAGCCCTGTGTTCAATTCCTAGAAAAACACACACACACACACACACACACACACACACACACACACATGTACAGAGCGCCAAATGAGTTAATACCCTCTCAATGGTAATCAAAGGATACGCTGAAAACAATGTCTGGTGAATGGAAGGGCTTTGTTCGTGCACTGTTCGCCCTTCATGGTTCCACTGCAAGCTGAGGGCTCTAACTCCTTCAACTTGGTCTGGCTTATGCTAAAGAAGAAAAACCACAAAGTTAGTAATGTTTCAACATTCTGTACTACTCTGTAACCCTCAGTTATTACAATGCAAACGGGAGTTGAAGAGCAGGCATTACAATTAACCGACGCGTTATTTCCCTAGTCTACTGACATTCAAAGCAAATAACCACATCAACATTGGTTTTAAATTATCTACTATTTTTGAAGTGATATTTTGGTGACTTTTACTTCACAGAGTTAGAAAAGTGATGACACATGAGCCCAGAATCAGACAGATCTGCCTGTGAATTTTGGCTTTGCCCACACTGTAGAGCAGTCAGTCAGGTGCCATTACTTGGCAGAGTTGTGAGCATGAACAGATAAACACAGCTAAACCGCTTCTATAGAGTGTCGTAAACAGCCACAGACTATCAATCACCGTGGTTACCATCATTAGGACAGTCAGTTCCCTCATGCTGCTAGACAGTGCACCTTGCAAAAAGATTTGTATGTGAAAGGACACTGAAATGCAAAAACAGTTGAGGCGCTTTCATCTTGCAAAATGTGCCCACCCTCACTCTGGTTTTTTGTTGACATGGTCTTGCTATATAGTCCAGACTAGTCTCGAACTCACTAAGGAGCCCAGGCTGACCTCAAACTGACAGCACCCTCCTGCCTCAGCCAACTGAGGGCTGAGATTACAAGCGTGCATCAAAACGGCAGGCCACACATGCTGCATTTTTTAACTTTCTATAACAGGTACATTTCCATGTACCATACTATCTTCATTTTGTTCCACTAACATTTAAATATTTTAATTTAAACAAAAAAAGATTGCTTCTAGTATCTAAAGGTTTCAATTGAATGATTTATATTAATTAGATCAAGCCACAGGATCTAAATTGCATATAAATGTATACAGAATCTAAACGAAGGAATACTTCTATTATATTCATTACTTTCATAAAAACATTAAACACAAATAGATAATTAAGACAATTAAAGACTACCATAGAGTATACTTTAATTAAAAGTTGTGCAAGGTTTGTCAGGATCACAAGCCTGGAGAAGTGGGTCACTACAGAATTATACTATTTATTGCTATTAGTTTATAAATTGTCCCCCAAAAGGTGTTTACACTACTCACATCAGTAAAGTTAAAAAAGACAGTCTGAAATAAAGTTTACTATTTTGGAAGCTAAGTCCAATTCTCCTGATCTAGATTTAACTATAAGGGATAATTTTCATTGAACACTTTAATAATTTAGTTAGCTATCTATCAAGCCTAATGTATAACACATTACCTTGTTTTCTTTCTAGCCTTCGAAAGAAATTATTGGGTTCATTTTTTTAAAAATCACTTTATGTTCGAGCTTATGACTCTCTCAAAATAAATCCAAAGTCAGAAATTAAGTATCTCCAGGAATAAATTAAGGTTAAAATGTTTATGACAGTGTTAGATTTATCATCCAAATAACCCCAACAAAAGAAATTACTAAAACTTTTTTACTAAGCCCATTTACATACAAACACACAAACCCCAGTCACTGTAGGCTTGGAGCTGCCAGGTATTTAGACTTAGATTTACTTTACACTAGTTTACTGGTTTATTATACTTATCAAGTAGGAGAAAGCCATTAGATAAAAAAGAATATCTTAACATTATTCAGCTTTTATATAAACTACAATTTAAAGAATACATATTAGAAAGTAGACATTGAACTTTAAATTTCTAAAATATGTCTCGCATAGACTGGGACTTTGATATGAAAAATATCAAATAATATCAAATAAATGCAACTAACAACTAATTGTTCTCAACCTAAGATACAAAATATAGTAATAAAGTGACACAGGATGTATTGTGTGCCAACTGCCCAAAAGGAATGTAATTATCATGTATCACAAATACACAAAAATAAAAAAGCTATCAATGACACAATGATCATCAGTGACACCGTGTAAACTTTTCGTGGATCATGGATAACATAACCGACTGACATCAAATCAACTGAAAAGAGTAAGGGAATACACTCATTTTCATTTGCTGCCTGGTAACACATCATTTTTTAAACATCACTCACACTGGAAACTAATTAAGAATCATAGAAAGAGCTGGGGCATAGCTCTGTAGTACAGCACTTCGTTAGCATACATGAGACCCTAGGTTCAATACCCAGCCCCACCAAAAAATAAAATATATTTAAAAATATATATGATACACATTTTCCACACAAATACCTAACTGTCCCCCAAAAAACTGTATAGACTCTGTGACAAGACTATAATACACTAGACTCTTTGAAGACAGGATCTTGCTATCCAGTTCAGACTGGCCTTGAATTCACTAAGTAGCCCAGGCTGGCCTCAAACTCATGGCAATCCTCCTGCATCAGCCTCCTGAGTGCTAGGATTACAAGCATGTGCCACCATACCACATAATATCATTACTTTATAACCTGTATCAAACTGAGTGAACTGTTTCAACAAAGAACAGGCCTTCATGTATATAATGCCATTCATTTCTTCATTAACATCACAGATTTGAGAATAAAATGTATCTTATTCCTGCACTCACGGAAATTCCTTTTTAGCATGAAAATTTATTCAGGTACTTCATGTTCATTATAGAAAATTACAATTAGATTTTGATTCAGCAGGCCATGAGTGCGGGTCTGAGGTTTGAGGTTTCTACCAAGTTCCCAACTGTTGTGATGCCGCCGGCATCCAGAAATACTTGTAGTAGGAGCTGGGACACAGGCACCGGACCTCCACTGCGGGGCTGTGGTTCTTGTGCCCTCTGGTGGCCAGGACCTTTCTAGCAGCACTTTGCAGGGAAGAGCTGACGTTGGAAGCCCTCTCTACCACACATTAATTTCGGCTGTCTTTACAGATCCTTTCCCCAGAGGCCAGTAGGCTGTGTCTTGACGGGCCTAGTAGAGCTCGGGGCAGAGCCTCCTCAAGCCTGCTGGACTCCCAACCTATGATACTGTCAGTTCATAACTGTTCTGCAGCAGTAGAAAAGGAACAGTATTTGAGACTTTAGGGAAGATGACAGAGTTAAGCAGCAACCAATCAGCCTCCTGAGGATTCGGAATACAGCCACTGGAAAGTACCAACTTACAGAGGGAAAGGAGAGAGGTGGATGCCTGGGACCCAAGAAGAAACTGAAGGGAAAACTGAAGCCTACAGTGACCCTGAAGAGGCAGACCAAAATACAGAAAAACTAAGGGGCAACCAGCACTTTCTCCCAGCTTCTGGCTCCTGGACTCAAAGGAAGACAGATACACAGTGCAAGTGGCAACTCCACAGTCCTTCACAGAGAAACTCACCAGAGAAACTCTGGGACAGAGCAGTGAATGCCAGGCACTGCAATAGCTGGTGAGCGACATCAGTTCAAGAGACTGCCATATCTGCCAGGGAGGGAGCTTGGCCGATGCCATTTTGAGAAGGGACCAACTGAACCCAGGACGTGGAACAGCCCTGCGTTGGCTTCACCTCAGGATTCCCAGGGCTGAAATCCCAACAAGACTGGGTGAGGGACAATCATGGGAGATGTCCATGGTCAGGGAGCTGTGGTCAGGCCAGCAAGGGGCACCTAGACTGTTGTAGGCTAAACTTAGGTCCCAACCCTACAACCAGAGGCCAAAATCACCTTGAACTTCTGTGGAGCTGAAAGCACCACAATCCACCCAGCCCTCACCCTACTGTAGCCTGCTGGGATCATCCAGCATGGGTCTTGCCGCTGTCTGCCTCCTTTGTCTACCAGTGTCAGCAGAGATACACCATGAATTAGACACTAGCACAAAACTGAAGGCCCCAGAAGATAACCACGGCTTGAAAACACAGAGAAATCTCTCTTTTCTTCATTCTTTTGCTTTGTGTTTTCATGAGTGCGAACACTGTTTTTAGGGTTCTTTTGTGTTTTGTTCTTGTATTCATTTTTCTTTCTTTCTTTCCCTCCTGTCAACTTCATCAGTTTCCTGAAGCTTGGGCAATCTTCTGTCTTTCAGCCTTGCTTCTAATCTCTTTCTGTTCTTTTATTTCTCTATTTTTTCCTCTTATTCCTTTAAATTGTCTGCCTTGAGGGTAAACCATTCTGTTGAGGGAATACTTACTATGTATAATTTTGATGTTTTAGACTATTATATAACTATAAATCTTGTACCTACGGTTAAAGGTGGAAAATTAACAGTTATCACAGTCTGTCATCTTTTAGGCTGAGCTTGATGCTACTGTTATTATTGATTGTACTACTTTATAGCCAGGTGGACATAGTTGCTGTGATCAGCTGTTCTTCCTTGTATGCCAATTCCCAGATTATCTGAAGGTCATAAACAAAACTGTATTCCAAAACCAAACAACTAGATGCCTGATCAAACAGGCAGAAACTTCTTACCCCTCGTAAGCCAAGGAGGAAGGATCTTGGTTGGTACAGACCCAAAAGCCAGCTATGCCTAGAACATACCTCTGAAAAGTAGTCATTTCCTAAAGAGGTCTTCGTAGTAGTAATAAAGCTATCTACCATAAGCAATTTACAATCATCAATGCAGAAAACAAACAGAAAATAAGGAAGCAAGATGAAACCCAACACCCCCAACTCTCCAAAGGCATATCCAAGGGGTACTGAGGTGGAAGAAATCAAAAGCTACCCAGCTGAGCTTTCTAAAATGGTGGCAGCAGAAGTAACAAAGCAGATGAGTCTCTAGAAAAAACAAATCAGCAATTACACAGATAAGTAAAGCGATGAGGACCATAATGAAGATCATGGTTAGTGAATCTAGAGTAGATACAGATTGAAAAAAAATAGAAGAGCTTAGGAGAGTGATAGAAACCATGAATACCCAACACAGAAAAGAACTGAATTCCATGAAACCAACTCAGATATCCAAGAGATTAAAAACTCTACTAAATGTATATGCAGCAAAATCAATCAATGTGGAGATATAATATCAGATCTACAAGACAGGTTTTCACTTAGAGATCATCATATGAAAGGGTTTTTTTTTTTGTCTTTTTGAGACAGGGACTTGC